AGGAAGAGAAAAACCATGAAAAATACATAAAGGTTTTACTGACTGATCTTTGTTGTTGCTTTTCACATTTGTTATAAAGACTCTGAGTGGGGAGTTAATGATGTTAGTTATCTTGGTAACAAGCTATTAATTTTGCGCTTCAAAGATATTAACCAACTTTCTATACACAGTTCTCAAGCAAATAAACGAATTTAATCCCTGTATTGAAATACAAAACAAATAATTCCATGTTTTATAACTTTGCAAAATTGACTATCTCCTTGGCAATACTTTAACAGAGCCTGAGACACAACTGCTGCTTAAAAAACAGTGTCTGGCAGTTTCTCTGAGAAGCTTGTACAAGTGGATTTAATTACACTTTAATCGCCATTCCTCTTCAGACCAGACATAAAAGGTCACAGAGGAAAAGCATTTTTTCCCAGTGACTCAACCACACTGGGTTAGTAGAATGTCTTCTTCCAATGATTGCACAACTCCTGGGAGAGTCTTGCTTGTAGAGCATGACATATAGCTAGCGTTTGCAAATTTAAACAATTCAGTGGGGGAAATAAAATATTTAAGATGATAACATTTACTGTCAAAAGAAGTTTTTTTTTGATCATGTCTAATTCTCCAGAGTAAAATATAACATTTTAATTCTAATGCATCAATTTTAGATGATATTTATCTCCTAATTACCAACAGACATTAAACTTGTAAAAAGCACTACGCATGTATAATAATTACAGTATAAGATAGTTATTAGCATCAATCACGATGTTGATCTGTATCCTTAAGGGTCTCTATGCTCTAACAAGAACAAACAGTAGTTTAGGATATCAATATTGCCATGGGAAATTTATAATGATTTATTTCTTTGATTTATTAAAAGCCTAGTCATATCTCAAAGGTCTCCGAATACTCATAAAATTAGGAAAGTATTGCCATAAAATTAAGATATACTAGCAAAATCTTCATACAGGAAGCAATCCAACAGGATAGTACCTATTGGAAATTACTTACATTATAAAAAGATACTTAAAATGAAAATTTTAAGCTATATGAATACACTGTGATTTCATGACACTCATTTTTTTTGTTCTATTGCTATAGAATATACCTCATTTCTAGTATAACCATTTCCTTTTCTTTTGAATTCTCACTGAAATAATGTATAAGTGAACATATTTCTTTGATGTGTCCCTCAGTAGATGCGTGGATAAAACAGCTGTGGTACATTTACATGATGGAATGCTGCTACTCTGCCATAAAAAAGAAGGGAATTTTACCCTTTGCGGCAATCTGGATAGACTTGGAGAACATTATGCTAAGTGAAATAAACCAGTCAGATAAGACAAATAACATGTTTTCTCTCATATAGAGAGTCTAATGAACAAACTGAACTAACAAGCAAAATAGAAATAGACTAATAGAGAGCAGGCTGACAGTTCTCGGAGGTGAGGGTGAAGCAGGGGGTGTGAAGGGATGGAGCAACAGTGGGGGGAAAAAGAAAGAAGTCATGGAAAAGAATAACAGTGTGGTGATTGCGGGAGGAAGAGGACGAAGGAGGGAAAGGGTATAGGGGATATAAATGGTGATGAAAAAAAAATATTTTTTTTATTAATTTCAAGATAAGGAGAGAGAGATAGAAACATCAATGAGAGAGAATCAATGATCATCCATCTCCTAAGTATTGAACCCGAAACCCAGGCATGTGCCCTGACTAGGAATTGAATCGTGACCTCCTGGTTCATCGGTCAACACTCAACCACTGCATCACTCTGGCTAGGCATAAAACTTTTTAAAAGATAAATATTTAAAGCAATTTTTGCATAATAATCTATAACTACAGTTTTGCAAACTGTAGCCCATTAAAATTCTCTCTTCTGCTATTATTTTTCAATGATACAATATTTGAACAAGTTTATTATACTTTTTAGAAAATAACAGAAAAGTTATCTATACTAATAATAGAGGAATATGCAAATTGGCCAGGGAAGGGAGTGCAGATAGGCAGTTAGGACGATAGGGCCAGGAGGGAAGCGCAGATAAGCAGGCCAGAGGGGAAGAGTAGATTGACAGGGGATTGTGCCAGGAGAGGAGTGCAGCTAGGCAGTTTGGGGGATCAGGTTGGCAGCAGAGAGCAAATAGGCAGTTAAGGGGATCAGGCAGGCAGAGGAGAGCAGTTAGGGCGATCAGGCCAGGAGGGAGGGCAGGTAGGCAGTTAGGGGAATCAGGCAAAGAGGGGATAGCAGTTAGGGGCATCAAGCCAGCAAGGGAGAGCAGTTAGGGCCATCAGGCAGGCAGGCAGGTGAGCGGTTAGAAGCCAATGGTTCCAAACTGCGAGAAGGATTCCAGATTGGAGAGGGTGCAGGCTGGGCTGAAGGACTCTCCTCCCCACTCCCTACTGTGCATGAATTCCATGCACTGGGCCTCTACTTTAAAATAATTGAATGAAAATAAAGAATGGAGTAGATAAAACAAAAGAAAAATGTTTATAAAATTGCATATTTTGCTAAGAGCCATAAACTATGAATAAAGGAATATAATTTATTCTTGATTGGGAAAACTCAATTTTATATCATTTCTTCCTAATATAATCTACCGGCTCAATACAATCTCAATGAAATCAGCAAGAGATTTTCTTGGGAACAGGGAGAAAGAAGTGTTCCATTAGTTTAGATTAAAGGGTATGAAAATTATAAGAATATGAAAATTAAATTTTATGGAGTTAAGGACTTTTAATTCTAATGATTTTTAAGTAATAGGATAACTGTACAAAGGATGTTTCTGGCAGCACTTCATAATAGTTAATCACTGCAAACAAACTATGCAGATAATATCTCATCCATATAATAAACACTCTCCTGTTATTAACAATGATGATAAGTTTCTAGATTTATTTTTCTATGAAAGATGTTGATTATATTCTGTTAAATAAAAAAAAGTTACAAAACAGTACCCAAGGAATGATTCAATTTTCTTTACCTGTGTAGAAATGGAGAATATACATCAAATGCTAAATGTGATTTTCTCTGGATAGTAGAACAAAGGGTTATTTTTTTCAAGTTTTATACTTTTTGATACTGAGGGAGTCTTCCATTATAAAGATGCATTATTATTATAATCATAAAACAATATTTTATTATTCTGTGTGGGAATTTATGGATAATAAATAATAAGCAGAATTGAAAAGAAGTGGCTATAAAAAAGTATCATATATAGGGTTGGGCAAAAGTAGATCTACAGTTGTGAGTATGTGAAACAGAATTCATTTTGATCTTATTATTTATTATTGTACTGTTTTCAATGCAAACAACTGTCAGCCTATTTTTGCCTCATTCTGCATATGTTGTTTAGAAGAGACCCACTTCAGATCAAAAGACACACAGACTGAAAGTAAAAGGATAGAAAAAATATTTCATAAAAATGGAAACAGGAAAAAAAAATGCTCAGGTAGCAACACTTATCCTATATAATAAAGAGCTAATATGCTAATTAGACTGAACAGCAGAACGACTATCTGGACGACCTTCCGGATAAAGATGGGGCTGCAAGGGCCAAGCCCCTTGCACAAATTTCATGCACCAGGCCTCTAGTATCAGATAAAATTTCAAAACAAAGGCTATAGTAAGAGTCAAAGAAGGACACTACATTATGATAAAGTAATCAATCTAATAAGAGACTATAACCCTTGTAAACATTTATACACCCAACACAGAAGTACCCAAATATATAAAGCAAATACTGATGGACTTAGAGTGAGAGTTGAGCAGCAATACAGTCACAGGAGAGGACTTCAACATCCCATTGACATCAATGGATAGGTCCTCCAGACAAAAAATCAACAGGGTATTTACTATGTGTCAGGCATAGTTCCAAAAGCACTTTCTGCATATTAAGTCAATTATTCCTCAAACTTATGAGGTAGATGTTACCATTATCCTTCATTTCCCCCAGGGGAAAAATGGAGGCTCAGAGAGCTAAGTCCTTGCTCAAGGTAAGAGAGTAGGTGATTAAACCCAGATAATATGGCTCTAGGACACATTTCATGGTGTGTTTTTTTTTCATATTTTAGAATTTTAAACATTTTAAATTTTAGAATAATTTTATGAAAGATACAAAAAGGTAATACAGAGAGTTCCTGTAGACCCCTTGCCAGCTTGCCATGTGGTTAAAATCTGACATTATAATGGAACATATTTGTCATAACTGAGAAACACACGTTGATTGATATTAACTAAACTTCGCACTCTCCTTGGATTTCACTAGTTTTTTCACTAATGATGTTTTTCTGTTCCAGGATTCCATCCCCAAAACCACATCACATCAAGTTGTCATGCCTTTGTAGCCTCCTCTGGGCTGTGAGAATTTCTCAGACTGTCCTTGTTTTTTATGACCTTGACAATTTTGAAGAGTACTAGTTAGGTATTGTGTATAATGCCCCTCAGTTTGGGTTTGCATGATCTGTTTTTCATGATTAGACTGTGGTCATGATTTTGTAGAAAGATCACAGACGTGAAGTGTTGTTCTCAACACATTGTACCAAAGGTACATACTACCAACATGACTTCTCTTTGATGATGACAACCTTGAAGACCTGGCTGAGGTATGTTTGCCTGGTTTCTCCATTCCTCCCCTCACTCTCTTTCTATGGTTCACTTATGGGAAGAAGTTACTGATCAAAGCCCACATTTAATTAAGTAAATGAAGATGTGAGTGAGTTAAGAAGGGGGAATATCTATATAAATTATTCACATTTTCTCATCAGAGCTCTCATTTTTACCCCTTATTCTATTTTGCCTCTGATGGCCTGCCCTTTCTTACCATTTTGACATAGTATTAACATGCAGTAGTGTAAAAAACATAATTATTAACTAATTTCTTACTTTTTCAAAAGTCAAAAAATATGTTAGAATTAAATGGGACAACCAATAAATTTGTTTAAAATTATTTTTTACTACCACCAAAGGGTGAATTAGAAACCAATTTTTCTCAAGAGCATTCCATGAAGAACTTACCAGAAATATGCGTTCAAGTTGATCCTGAATGTCTTTCATTCCTGGAAAAGCAGCGACTCCTTGGATCATTTCAACAAAGATGCAACCAACTCCCCTAAAGAAAGGAGAAACAATTATTACAAAGACTTTGATATATTCTGCTTAGAAAAATAAATCTGAAGTTAGAATACCTACTCTGACAGAGGAAAAACAATGAATAAATAACTTTCTTAGTAAGTACCAACGACTGTGACACACACACACCTGGATCCCATAGTTTTCCTTCCCCCCTCTTGTCTACTGCCCTGAAAGAAATTTAAATAGATACAACTATACTGGGCTCAGAAAACGATGGAAACCAATAAAATAAAAAAACTTGGTGGCTCCACCTTACTTACACGATGCAGTCCAGAAACCCTTACCCTGATATAGAAGCCACCAAAGCCTGTTCTAATATTCTTTTCCAACCTTATTTCACAAATTCATAATGTAGTTTTCTCTCTAGCTATCCAGGGCCCAAACACCTTTGCATCATATCTGGGAAACTTTACAATGCTGCAACTGATCTGAACACAAACCCCAAGGATTCTGTTTCAGTCAGTCATTGACTCAGGCTGCTCAAGCAATTTAAGGCAACTATATTGAGTATCTCTAAGCCAGAATGGTCCACCCACGAGTCAAGCATAACTCTATACAACTCGTCTCAAACTGCTGTTCTACCTACAATTCCCCACTTCTTCATCTACTTGCTCTTGACAAGTGGATCCAGCCCAGCTTCTATACTGTGATGTAAATGCCAACTCTTCTATGAAGCCTTCCACTAACATTACAGCAAACAGAATAGCTTTCTTTATGAATTTATTTTTGGAGTTCTTACTCAATATATATGAATATCTACTATGGTCCACTTCTCCTAGCTAGCCTGCTCTGCTCACAGTTCTAGCAAGGCAGTCCAGCAGGATATCAGGAGACCTTGCCCCGCAGGCAGCAGCTTGCACCCAAGCAGCAGGAATAACCAGCCCATAGTACAGGCAGGGAGCCAATCAAATACCACTGCTGGGACCTTGGAGACCAAGTCACTTGGGAGCAGAACAGAAATAAACTGCCATGCGTAGATGGGTTAAGTCCCATCAGTGGCAGAGAACTTGCAAGAATGGCCACCTTCCTAGAGGTGAAGTCCCTGAATTGACCTAGTTCCTGCCTTCCTAAGGCCTGGATGTTCAGGTATTCCAGTGTTTGTGCTAAATCTCTATCTTCTAGCAATCCTTCTAGCTATCCTCCATATATATTTAAATGGCTCTACGTTGAACAAGTTTGCTTCCTGACAGTGTCCTAATAAAATCATGGACACATTGGGGTACTTCTTTAATTGCTGCACTCCTTTTCCATTAGGGATGAGCAAACCCTTGTGTCTGATCCTCTATAGCTGCCCCAGTTGCTATCACAAGTATATTATTAGCAGGGTTTTGAATTAAAGAAGTAATTTACAGAAATCTCTTCTCTCATATAGCACATACTTTCTATCCAAATTAAACACCAAAAGTATATAAAGTCAAAATGATAAAAACAAATGCTACTTTATATAAAAATAATTCAAGAAGTAAAGAATTAATTTTAAAAAATCAATGCTCTAGGCAGATGGATTCTAACATTTTTCATTTAAGATTCGAGAGACAAAATAGAAATTAAAATTATTTTATTAAAACATTAAAATGAAATGATAATCTTATAAATATTGAGGTTTCAGATGTCCAGTTAGGTGTAAGATTTCAATTTGGTGACTTTACAAATTTTTACTTGATGAATTCGTTTCTAAGACTACTAAAGTACATTTTTATTGCCTTTGTATTTACGTTTACAAAAACTATATTGGATCTTAAATAGCTATCTACACCTTTTTTTAAATATTCAGATCATACCCGCTATTCCCCACCTTTTGGCCTTAGTCTTTCCCACAACAAGCTCCAACTCTGAGTACAAAGACCTTCAGTAGAAGGCAAGCCACCCCCGCTGTCTACCCTGCTAGGCTGGATGATGTAACCATTACACTGTCGGGACTCCTCCAGAAATGATTTTACCATTACTTGGGTTTAGTCTATATCATCTCCATAATATGACGTTTAGAACAATTAAAAGACAAATCTATGCTGTAGTTCTACTTGGTTGGAAGGTAATGATATAACACACCTGTAGGCTCTTACATGCTCAGCTAATGAAGGGCCTGGAATTCTCATTTCTAAAGGACATTTCTGAGTATATAATTTTTCAAAGATGTTTTAGGGTACACTGATAAAGCTGAGAGAATTATACTTAAAGGGTATATAAAAGAAAGAGATAGGAAGTTCACGAAAATTAAAAAGTAGAAATATAAAACATATTAACATAGCAGACTACTTTATTACAGGAGCTGTCTTAGTGCCTCCAATTTAATATGAAGGAACTATTATCTGCTTTCCATTTACTCCTTCCGACAGGAAATTAGCCCTGTGGTTCCTATCTTGATGGATTAAGGTGACTGACTACTTTTAGTAGTTTACTAAGAAAGATTTGTCCACACTTGTTCTATCCTTATGATATATAAACTTATTTCAGCATGTCTCCTTTGTCACTTCTTTTGACAACTTGAGTAATTACATAATTATCAGCCTCTTAGTCTACATTTTTCAAGAATAAGAACTGGACACAAAGCTTACTGGTCACACAGGATTCAGCGTGTTTAAATTCTTATTTTAGGATCAATTATGTGGTAAGGTAATATATAAGCATCCATGCATGATTACTCATCTTCCAATTCTTTTGAATTCAAAACTCCTAAATTTATGTCACATATGTATAAATAGTTTATCACAATTAAGTTGAATTGATGATTTTAACATATTTTTTAATATATTTTATTGATTTTTCACAGAGAGGAAGAGAGAGGGATAGAGTTAGAAACATTGATGAGAGAGATACATCGATCAGCTGCCTCCTGCACACCCCTCACTGGGGATGTGCCCCCAACCAACATACATGCCCTTGACCGGATTCAAACCCGGGACCCCTCAGTCCACAGGCCAACGCTCTATCCACTGAGCCAAATCAGTTTTGGCTGAACTGATAATTTTAGTTATGAGTAGAGATGGATTATTTTTTAGGTCTGAAGGTCATATAGTTTTGGAGTTATTGTTTTGACAAAAAATATAAAATTATGAGTAAAAAATTGGTTACAAAAGTGAATTTAGAAGTCCTGGCCAGGTTGTTCAGTTGGTTAGAGCAGTGGTCACCAACTGGTGGTCCATGGACCACTGGTGGTCACTGAGGTCCAAAAGATTGGTGTTCACTGGGTTAGAGCATTGTTCCAATATGCCAAGGTTGCAGGTTCAATTCCCAGTCAAGGCACATACAAGAAGGCAACCAATGAATGGTAAGTAAATATGTGAAACAACAAATTGATGTCAGTCTGTCAGTCTCCCTTCTCTAAAATCAATAAATAAAATTTTAAAAAAGGAAGTGAATTTAGAATGAGAAAACAAATCAAAAGAAGTCATAAAAACTTAAATCTACAGAGGAATCAGACTTTTAGATGTCTTGAGTTTTTTCTTCTTTAAAACCTAGAGTGAAGACAGAAGAGAGTGAAGGCCCCACATGCTCTCCAATTTCTGTCACATCTTTTATCCACAGGACTTCCTCTTCTCCAGCCATGCTGCTTTGCTGTCCCTCCTAAAACACCCAACACTCCTTCTCATGTCAGCACTGTGCTTGAGTTTTTCCCCCTCCTCTGCCCAGAGTGCATTTCCCCTCATTACGTGCATGGATAATTGCTCCTTGATATTCAGAGATTAGCTCAGATGGCTCCATCGAGAAATGACCTTCTTAACCATCATATGTAAGGCAGGTTCCTCTTGCTACTCAGACCCCATGTCTCACCTTTCTTTCCCTAGTTTGTTTTCCTCACATTACTTAAAGGATGTTAGCTTCTCTCTGCTTTTGGGAGTGTGTCTCCTCTAGAGGAAAAACCCAGAAGACAAGGAACAAAGTCATCAGCTTGTCTTCAAAACAGAAGGCACAGGGAAGTGTCAGGCATATAGTAAGGGCTCAAAAATAGTTGTTGAATGAATGAATGAATGAATCAAAAGCAGTGCAATACTTCCACTCTCCCTTTCTCAACTACCAAGTGAGAGCTGAACTCAGGGACTCATCTTGTATGGAAGAAGGGATGAGCGTGGATAGTCACCTTGCAATGGAGAAAACTGGTGAACAGTACCTTGGCCATGTGAACAAGGCTACTGTCATCAATGATAGATCATGTGGATGGCACGTGCCTTTGATAGCATGTGATGATGGGGTCACTTCAACTCTGCAGACTCCTTCCCCCAAACATTAGGTGAATACAAATTAAGGGAAGTTCTACAAAATACCTGAATAGTGCTCCTCAAAACTATCAAGGTCATGAAAAGCAAGGACAATCTGAAAAACTACCATAACCATAGGAGGCTAAGGACACAGGACTACTACATATAATGTGGCATCCTGAATGGGGTCTTAAAACAGAAAAAGGAAATTAGGGGGGAAAAACAACAGTAAAATAAAAATAAAGTTAACACAATGTACTATCGTGGGTTCCTTGGTTGGGACAAATGTACCACAGGTAAGATATTACGAACAGAGGAAACCAGGTAAGAAGTATATAGAAACTCTCTCTGGTGTGCAAGTTTTCTTTAAGTATAAAACTATTCTAAATTCAAAAGTTTATTTTTTACAAAAGGCAAAATGAAGGACAGCATTTTCTTGGGACGGTATATAGAATGAGTCAAAGTAGAAGAGCCAGCATTTTAAGTTTTCCCCATATGAGAAAAAAAGGACCCCTATTCATTTTGATGAAGTTTTTCTTTAAAAGCAACATGAGCCATCTAGACCTGCAGGCTAGCATGTAAAATATCAGTTAAAGTTAACCTTACATAACATGGGCAGCAAACTAATTAAAGATTTAATTTGATATAAAGGTATTTAAAAATAGACATACACATTCTATGGCAAAGGAATTCAAGATTGAAAAAAAATGATCTAAATGATTAAATTTCAGGCAATGAGGTGGGGAGGGTGTGGAATGCAGAGAAAGAATGGAATTCCTAA